TAAAGTTTATGTGGCTCTTGAGAATTGTGTGCCTCTATTCCTCCAAAAGGATTTGTGGAATTTATTATTCAAACTATGTTATTTTGGAGCATGGTTATTTGAAACATGAGCAGTACACCATCTGGGTGACACATGCCAAGGAAATATAGATTGCACCACATTTCTGCTTAAGGAATTAATGGAAGGTTGATAGCTAGGGGGGTGGAAAAAACCTATCTTGCTATTGCTGGTCAGCAATAATCGAACCACTTTCTGGGGATTAAGCGCATGGCTAAGCCTACTGGACCAGACACTAGCAAAGGGCAGGGGGTCTTCTTATCAGAGAAATGCTTCTGGAGCCAGTCTCACTACATGACAGATTGCTTTCATATTCCTGTCTGCAAGGCAACAAAGGATGGCAGTAATGCGATAATGCCAGAGTGCAATGGGTGTTAAGAACCCGTTGCATTTATGTATTGTATTTAGTAAATAATCAGGCTCATCCAAATTGTGATCTCACCACTCAACCAAGGCCATTAAAACCAAGGTTAATGCTTTAATAATCCTTTGCTGTTTTTTATGGCCAAAAGAACTTCTTTCTATTTGCATGGTCATAATATTATTGACCTCTTCATCCCCTGAATACACATCAAAAGGAACTGAAATCAAAGTAATTACCACTGTTGTTCTCTCACAGTAAACATTAACTCCTTGTACTCTCCCTTCTGACTCCTCAGTAAATTGAAATGGATTAAAAAGCTATAGGAATGAAAAACTTGTAAAAGGTCAATGGTTTAACTTTCCAAGCTGCTGGGAATTTAGAAGAATAAAAGGGGAAATGGAATGGTCGTATTTTTAAGATGTGTGCTGACAGAGCTCACAATCAAATAAATTATTAGATATTAAAGTTAGTAATTTTCATTTTTCCCCCTCTAAGGCTAATTGCTTTATCTGTAATTGCCCCTCCAAAACTAACTTATTGTGTACTAATCTAGTTTCAATACAATGTTTTTAAGCTAATTATATTCTATGTCTTTGCTGATATTTTTATGTAAACTATCCTGGAATTATTTTATATGAACATTTTTCTATAATTTGGGGGGGGGATTTAATGTATAAATTTCCTAAATAAATAATAATGTGTGAATGACTGAGGGGGAAAGGTCAGAGAAGAAGGCCTTCCAAACGCACTGCCACTGCTCCCCACCTCCTTTACTCTATTTTGCCATCAAGGTGATGGTGCCTGGCAGTAGACACCTTTCCCATGGACCAATTCAGTAACTCAGACTCACACAATTACTAGTGGTGAAAGTTGTCTGAACAAGACAGCATCGGTCAGATCCCATCAGTTAAGAGCAAGATGAACAATGGAGAATAAATAGAGTTATAATATTCCACCCTTCCTGTGCTTGCTGGTTTTCCTCCTCTACATGTAAGCAGTGTACTGTGCCCCACCCCCCAAATGCAGAGGTGTTGGATTGAGTCATTAAGAAAAAATGAAATTAAGGGGGGGAATTAGTTCGTCTTTTTCAACTCTTGAATTTTTTTCAAGCTGTTTAATCTATGATACATTTTTAAAAAGAAAATTACCATTCAATAACACTAAAGTGATATATAACATAATGCCACTTCCTATGCTGTATTCAGTTTTATAGGTAGTAGTTTTTAAAACATAATCCCTTTGAACGTTTAATACATGTATGCATCAATCGAAGGAAAGTAAAGATTAGAACTTCCAAACTCTTGCCAATAAGAAGTCTATCAGAACTAAACCACTACAATACCCATAAAATAAAAATAGCTATATAATAGGAGTCAAGTAGATATATAGATATTTGGTAGAATCTTTTCTAACACTTTATTGTTATTATTTATTGGAAAGGGTGATTGGCAGATAGCTGTGATGAGCCTGTTGACGACTCTTAACGACTGCAATAGGTCTTACAGGAAAAAGCAAGAGGTGAGAAGGTGAAAAATGGCTTTGTCATGTATAATGAGATAAGAATCCAATGTCTTTGTTCAGACCAGGTCTCTCCATGGTTTTAAGTAAAAACCATGGTTTTAAACTTGCACAGGTACAGACTGATATCTTCTTTCTTACTAAATGCAAGAACCTGGACATTATACCCAAGGGTCTTAGAATTAAGAACCCTCTACAATCCACGTATACCACTGAATATGCAAGAAAACTATGCAACACTTTCTCTAAGAAGCTGCTCAAACATCTGATCAGCGTTCTCTACTCTAAACAGAAGCTAATAAAGGAGGAACTCCTTGTATTGGACAACTCTATCAGGAACCACCAAACTTAAAACTGGTAACTTCTGTTTCAGTGTATCTGAAGAAGTGTGCATGCACACGAAAGCTCATACCAAGAACTAACTTAGTTGGTCTTTAAGGTGCTACTGGAAGGAATTTTTTTTGTTTTGACTATGGCAGACCAACACGGCTACCTATCTGTAACTGTAAGTTTTCTGATAAGGCTGAAAACTGGAGCCTACTAAAAATATCAAAAAATAATCACCATATCTCATCTTTTGCCACCCTGCAGCTAGGGCACTTAATGTGGCAAACGCCTAGCTGCTACCATCCTCCTGCCTAGCTCAATTCCTGGGGAAACATAACAGACTGAAGACATTGTGAGCTTGGGCATCTCATAAGTAAGTTGCCACAAAGATGGGCTCAATGTGCTGCATAAATTTTCCAAAACGAGGTCCAGAGTGTATCAGTGGGAACAGCTTACAGAGTGAAACATGCAATGGGAGAAAGACAGCAGCATGGAAACCACACAGCCCTCCTTCCCTCCTGTTTATAAGGTAAGTCTGGTTCTTTTGATACTTTTGTAGAAAAATTGAGAATAAATAACACGGTGAACTAACTGTGAAAAGTAAGGGCTTGTGCTTCGAAAGTGCTTCTCTGAATTTTATTTTTCTGCCAGGCTTGGAGGTGTACTGGGCCAGGGGGAGGGGGTCATTTAAGAAACCTCCTTTAAGTGCCAGATGCAGTTATAACTATCTATTCATAATTTCAAAATAAGAGTGCCATTTCTTATTTTTCTATAAGTACCTTGGTACAGCCTGTGACCATATGTACAGGTCACAGTCTAACCTAATAAATCTGCAAAGAGTCTCCTGCATTATCATTTTAAAACTGTTAACATATTCCAGGCTGAATTTCCACTGTGCCCTCAACCAGCAACTTTGTTTTTTAAACATCAGATCTGAGGAAGAGTTCTGTTAAACTCAAAAGGCAGCTTACTGATTTGTGATTTTAGATGGCCCTAATAAATATTGTGTTATTGATACTGCTTTGACTCCCCCCGCCCCCGCAATGGATCAAAGCTTCCTGCGGTTTTTTCCTTCTTTTCTTAAATAGTTATACTTACAATGTTTCTGGCATAATATGTATTGGGCTATGCATATGGGTCCAGAAACATGGTTAGAAAATAAATAATCAAAGCAGATGCCCTCCCAATATAGCTTTGCAGTTAGGCTAAACGTCCGCAGATCATGACCATGGTCACTAAAAGCCCATGCTTAACAAATACTCGGCCAGGCACAAGTGTGCATCATTTTGAAGTAAACAACATATCAGCTCAGTTCCTTGTGAACAGTGAACTGTCTCAAATCCATGTTACAGAGGTTGGATCAATCTTGCAAACACAAGTCAGTGCTGAAAGGAGGCCTTGAACTGAAACAGCCTGGAAAATGTATTTGATGTCCATTCTAGCAGAGAGTATTCCCACAAACAAGTTATAATTTAATGTGGTAAAAAGTGTAACATAATCCAATAAAAGCCAGCCTTACTGCTATAAACCCGATTAAGCAAAAATAAAATAAAAGAAGAAAAAAGTGGCAGGATGAAAAAATATTGGGGAGCAAAACATTTTCCTGCATTCTGCATTCTAGCACCACTTAGGGTGAGGGGAGGAGGGATTCTTTCGATGCACTAGAGAGCAGCCTCTTTACTAATCTCCATTCTGTATTTTGAAAAGAGACAATATGAAATAAAAAAGTTTACTTATTTGCTCTGAAGAATCTCCAGCCTCATATTTTGTACATTTTCCAGATACGTTAAGAAGGGAAAAATTCATTCCAAAACCCCTGTATCAAAGCTAAATAGTACATATCATCTATGTTGCCTCACATTCTGGATCTCTGTCGCATACAGTAATCTCCTCTACAGCATTCATGCAAAAAGGTGGGTGGGCTGCCATATCCAGCCAGATTTGCAGAAGACGTGGCCCCTTAACATTTGCCATAGACCCTCCCAATTATTACCATTTGCAAAGATCATCATCATTTGTACCATTATTTTATTTTAAATTACTATACTGTTGTGAATATCTGTGGCTCTCCAGTTCCATGGTGAGCAAATTATCTCTGTTTTAGAAACAAATATAGGAGATACTAGATTACTAACTCAAGACAGAAACCCATTTTATTTAGAATCCTATACTATAGATGCTTAGCATAATAGTTATGATACGATACGATAATCAATACGATAATCTTTATTGTCATTGTCCCATACAGAAAAACGAAATTGAAAAAATCTACATCCAGGGTGCGCACTATCCTGCACTATCTCTGCAGTTTTCTTATGGCACCTGGAAGGATAGATTTGATCCAAGGTGGGAAGAGTGCACCCAATTATTCTCCCCGCACTTTACAACTGGACAGTATTGTTCCCCCCCTAACTGTGCACACACACCCAAACCACACACAGAGACCATAAGTTAATACACTCTCAACAGTACAATGGTAAAATGCCATCCTGTTAATCCAGGAGTAGTCTGCCTAAAGTTACTTTATCTCTGGGAGTCATTTAAAAGAGTTATCTCTAATACTTGGCTGTTTCAAGCTTCAGTTTTTTTAAAAAACTAAAACCTTTCAAATAGTTACAATTTCAAAATTAGTTTTGGATATTTTAGTAAGTGACACTTACTACCTATCCACTCTCAGTGTACGTTTGCCCATAATTATAATGATCAAACTTGCAAACATCACAGGTAGTTGTACCTTAAAATCCAAGGAGGAGAGTTTCTCAAGCTTTATGTTTCCATCAGGAGAATTTGCCTTCTTTGTGAACTGAATAAAGCAGAGTTTGCTTTGCTCCCAAAAGGACAAGATCATGAAACTGTCTGTAAGAACAGCTGAAAAACAAAGAAAAACTGTCAACACTGTAATACCTGACTGTCACCACCAAGAAAACAAATTACTGAAGTCTCCACTGAGACACTGGGGAAAGAAAAGCAAATTTTCAATGCTACACCTTAAAATATTACATTCAGCCTTCTGTGATCTCCTAAAGGACATCAGTGTTTCATCTTCTCAGAATCTTGCTGGAAATGAGAAATAAAGCTTAGGGGGTACTCAGATTAAGTACAGCTAAATAAATTATCATATTCCAAATCCCTTCTGTAATATAATAATGCTTTCTCATCCTATATTCATTTCTTCTTCAGTTATTTTAGAATTTGAAATCTAACTCTCTTTTATGATAGCTTTCACTGATTGAGTGAAAATACTGTTATTCAGCTGCAATCAAGCATACATGGGGAAAACAGTACCAGAGAGGTGGCAGATTCGACTACAGCAGTTGAGTTTCTTGCAGCTGTTGAGTCAAAGGACAGACAAATCTGGGAAGTTTTCACATACAACATACCAGAAGTGAATTGTCCCAACTGTCCGCCTTCTGAAGTTTAGAAAACTGCCAATATGCAGAAAGTACTACTACAGATAAAGCATGAAAGTGTTCAGCATTTGTTGTCAATAACTGACCTCCTTGCTAACCATCGCATCAGGCCTATGCTATTTATTTTAATTTCTACACAGATGCTACACTAAATTTAGAATATCTCTCCCTAAAACTTTCTGTATGTTATCATATAAATCTGTTGGAAGTAGCCTCAGGATGAATGGAGGATGTAGGAAATCTCTTTTAAGAATGAAATTATCCCTATGGGGTAGAATTTCAGTAATCAAAATTAATGTACTACCCAAGATGTTGTTTGTTTTTCAGTCAATCCCGATTTTACATGGTGTGCGTGATTTTAAAGAGTGGCAAAAAGTAATTACAAGATTTGTCTGGCAAGGGAAGAAACCAAGAATAAAATTTAAATTACTTACAGATGTTAAAGAAAGAGGAGGTTTCTCTCTACCAGATCTGAATTTGTATTATGAAGCTTCTTGCCTTTCTTGGTTAAGGGATTGGATATTGTTAAAAAAAAACAGATCTATTAGATGTGGAAGGATTTGATAACAGATTTGGGTGGCAAATTTATGGTATGAGAAGGTAAAAGTTCACAAAGGTTTTTTGAACCACATAATTCGAAAATCAATATATGAGGTGTAGAATAGATATAAGAGTTTATTAGAGCGTAAAATGCCATGGTGGTTGTCGCTGTTGGAGGCAACAACTATAAAAAAAAGTTAAATGTGGAAAAAATTGGGCCACCTGTGGAGATTTGGTGATGGAAATAGATAATCAGTGGAAATTAAAACCTTATGAGGAAGTTAAAAATCTGGTATATGATTGGTTGCATTATTGTCAAATAAATGAAGTGTTTAAAGATAAAAAGAAAAATGGATTTGAATATAAAAGATCCAGGTTTGAATTGGATTTATTAAGCAATAAAGTAAAAATATTGTCAAAAATGTATAAGTTACTCTTGGAACGGCATACAAATGATGAAGAAGTTAAATCAGCAATGATACATTGGGCAAAAGATATTGGTCATAATATACAGTTAGAAGATTGGGAAAGGATGTGGAAAGATGGAATAAATTTTACTGCATGCAGTTTGCTTAAAGAAAATATAATGAAAATGATGTACAGATGGTACTTAACACAAGTGAAATTAGCAAAAATGTATAGAACAAATAATCAATGTTGGAAATGTAAAGAAAAAGAAGGTACCTTTTATCATATGTGGTGGGTTTGTAAGGAGGTGAAGGCTTTTTGGGAAATGATATACGTTTATAAGAAAAACCCAGAAGCCTTCTTGATAGGTGTTGTAGGTAGAGAAATACACAAGCAAGATAAAGCATTGTTTTTATATGCAACAACTGCAGCAAGAATATTATTAGCCCAAAGATGGAAACAAGAAGAGATACCAATGAAAGAAGAGGGGCAGATTAAACTATTGGACTATGCAGAATGGGGAAAATTGACGGGGAAAATTCGGAACCAGCAGGACCAGACTTTTCTGAAAGACTGGAATAAATTTATGTTATATCTGAAAGACAATTGTGAACAATTGACATCACTAGTAGGGTTACAATAAGTTTTGTAAGGTTAAATGATTATTAATTATTATTACCGTATTTTTCCCTCTATAACACGCAGATTTTTTCTCCTAAAAAGGAAGGGGAAATGTCTGTGCGTGTTATAGAGGGAATGTGTGGTCCCTGGAGCCAAAAAATCAAGCAAAAGTCAAATCGCGAGTCACGGAGAAGGGAAACCTGAAAAGAGGAAGCGGCTGCTTTCCTGCATTCTGCCTCAGGGTCTTACTGCCCACCCTCCTCTGTTTCGTTGCTGTGATTGCTGAAACGGAACAAAGAGCAGGGAAAGCCCCTCCCCTCCAGGCAAGCAGAGGGGAAAGTGTTGTCTCTGTGCTCCGGTACTGCTGGGGGAGAGGGAGAGAGAGTGGGGGAGGGAGAGGGAGGGGGGAGGGAGAGGGAGAGAGAGAGAGAGAGAGAGAGAGAGAGAGAGAGAGATGGCTGGCTTGGGGGGGAACTTTTGCCTTTCTTTCCTCCCACCCGTTAAATCCCTCTCCAGCATTCTTAGCCAGCTGCTTCTCTGCACACCCCTCTCATGTCCCTTCTTTGTTTTTCCTTCGCTCCCCACTTAAAATGTGGTTACAAAGCATAGATCAACATGGATCCTCAGGATCTTTGCATTGGGTCACCCCAAATTCACCATCAGATCACATAGCATGTCCATGGCTACAGCCTGCACCAAAAAAATCACGCACCCACTGTTGCCTGGGGCTGCAATGGTGCAAAAACGTGGTTAAAAAGCATGGATCCACATGGATCCTCAGGATCTTTGCATTGGGTCACCCCAAATTCACCATCAGATCACATAGCATGTCCATGGCTACAGCCTGCACCCAAAAAAGCACGCACCCATTGTTGCCTGGGGCTGCAATGGTGCAAAACGTGGTTAAAAAGCATGGATCCACATGGATCCTCAGGATCTTTGCATTGGGTCACCCCAAATTCACCATCAGATCACATAGCATGTCCATGGCTACAGCCTGCCCCCCAAAAATCACGCACCCACTGTTGCCTGGGGCTGCAATGGTGCAAAAACGTGGTTAAAAAGCATGGATCCACATGGATCCTCAGGATCTTTGCATTGGGTCACCCCAAATTCACCATCAGATCACATAGCATGTCCATGGCTACAGCCTGCACCCAAAAAATCACGCACCCACTCTTGCCTGGGGCTGCAATGGTGCAAAAACGTGGTTACAAAGCATGGATCCACAGGAATTCTCAGGATTTTTGCATTGGGTCACCCCAAATTCACCATCAGATCACATGTCTGTGGCCACAGCATGAAGCACAAAAATGATACATCCACTGTTTCATTCAGAATGTTTTTTCCCTTGTTTTCCTCCTCTAAAAACGATGTGCGTGTTATGGTCAGGTGCGTGTTATAGAGCGAAAAATACGGTAAGTATAATATATAAATGATTGATACAGACTAAGGTTTAATAATAATAAAAACAAAAATGCAGTATTAGAGAGTAGGTCGGAAAACCAACAGTCGGGGATGAGGGAAGTCTTAGGCTTATATAGCCAAATATAGTTTTGATGATTATAGAAAAATGATGTTATGCTGGAAAATATTTGTAAAACCTTATAAAAATTATTACAAAAAACAAAAACAAATCTCACAGCAGCCAACTAAACACAACCAACCATACCTTGGGCCCCACACCCAAACTCTCTCACTACCAAGGAAATACAATAAAGAAACAGAAAGAGAACCCACCCAAATGAAGGGGACATAAAAACCCCACACTAAATATAAGAATATGTTTACCACTTCTCTCCCTTATTCCCCCTCTTTTCTCCTTCCCTAACCTTGTATATAGAACACTAATGCCTCACATCACATGTAACCGGTATATAGAAAAACTTTACAATAAGAAAAAAGAGACAATGCACATACTTTTGTAAATCAAGAAAATCTAAATAAATAAATAAATAAATAATCCCCTCCCAAGCTGTTATTGTTCATGAGATGTCAAAGCTATGGCAATCTGCACATTTTAGTTTTCATGACCTGTCCTAGGATTTGATCCTGGGTCCCCAGTCCGAATACAGGTTTCTACCCACTACGTTTTTAAATTTATTCAATTAATTGATCAGTTTGTTTTCCCTAGGGCAGCTGTAATTTTAAACTGCTCAGATGGCAGTTAAATTAAATACAGTATGTAATGTATAGCAGTAAAGGTTAGATGAAATCCTTACAAGCTATGTATGAACAGTACAGTATACTGTTTAGGAGTGACAAGTGCAACTTAAGTTAAAGGATCTTTCTGTTATACGGATTTGGCTCAAGACACAAGTTGTTACCTATTCTAGATAGAGTGACAAGCTTGCCTCTTTCAAGCTTTAACTACTTGAACCAAGTAGGTTCTGTCACCCTATCTATACCACCCATGGGAAGTATATTAGCACTAATAAATATAAAATCTGCTTACTGCTTGGGAACATCAACAATGCTAACATGCTTTCTGGAATATGCCTCTGTCAAGGTATTATTCTACAGAAAGCTTTGAACTCAATTCACCTCAGACTTTTGTAACTGCAAGCCATTCAAATACTATGGGGCATGAGGGACAAAAATTGCAGTATTGAAGCAAGTTTACTGATACAACATAAGTCAATCTATTAAAATGCATTAAACCCAATGAAAGTATAAAAATTTTCATCTGCTATATCTAAGGAACAATAAAAACAGCTACCAAAGGCCCAGGAAGGCTCAAGTGAACATATGAGTTTTCACTAGCTGACAAAATATCACTTCTTCCAGTGTCTTTTAAATACAGGAAAAAACCACATATTTCCCATTTTGCAATTCATCATATGTTTTCTGGACAACTGTACATACTACCGTATTTTTCGTCCCTTAGGACGCACCTAGTTTTTTTGGGGGGAAATAAAGGGAATTCCCCCCCCTTTATTTCCCCCCCCAAACCAGGTTGGGGAATCCAAACCAGGTCGGGGAACAGCGGGGTGGCGGCGCTGCGCCTCCCCGCTGTCCCCCGAGCTTGTGGGGCTGTGGATGTCTGCCCAAAGCGCAGGGCGCTCTGCTTCAGCACGCCCCATGCTCCGTGCAGGAGGCTGCTATCCGCAGCCTAGGGAGCCCTGCGGGAACTCCCGCGGGCTCCCCAGGCTTGCTGATAGCTTCCTGAAGCCTGGAGAGCGAGAGGGGTCGGTGCGCACCGACCCCTCTCCTCTCCAAGCTTCAGCGAAAGCCTGCATTCGCCCCATAGGACGCACACAGATTTCCCCTTCATTTTTGGAGGGGAAAAAGTGTGTCCTATAGGGCGAGAAATACGGTATTTGATTGCTGTAACAGTTAATGCATACTAGTTTACAACAAAGTACAGCTTTGTTTCCGCTAGAAGCATAATCTGGAACCTTGTATCAAGCAGTCCTTTTATAAGACAGAATTAGATCTACTTAGAAGGGCAATTTTGAAATTAATGTATTTCTGTACAGTGCTTTCCACATACATGCAACGTGATGTAAGATTATTTAAAGACTAGGGCTGCAATTTTTATCCATCATGTCCCTCAGACAGTATTTAGTTTTCAAAGTCTATTTTTTTAAAAAAGGAATTGTTTCCCACAGATAAGGGTATTGCAACAAACACATCAAAAGCAAACCAAGGCTCCATCTAGACTAGAGCTCTGCTTCCAATAGAGGCCAGCCAGATACATTCAGGAAGCTCACAAGAAAAGCATAGAAGCGAGAGCTCAACAAGTGCTATTTGACGGTACATTGCACTTGGCACATGAAGGTTCCATTAGTTATCCTGATTAATAACAATTGATAGATATCCTCTAAGATTTTGTCTAATACCATTTTAAAAGCCACATGCTTTGTGTTCATTTTTTTCAATGGGTAAGGAATAGGAACCTATGCTCTTGAAGTTCCTCTAACATATTTAGGATCTCAAGTGAGGACGACTGGAAGATCTGAGATCTTGGGACGCTGCTTTCAGTCACAGCCGACAGTATTGGGAAGAACATATTTAAAATGACCAAGTCAATTTATACTGTAATCTAACATTATTACTGAACTTTTAGATACAGGCCACACAGAAAGCTTTACTGTTGTATTACTGTTTATTTCAAGTTATTGTACTAATATAGAACAAAGCTCTCAGATGGGAGGAAATTACATGTGCTAAACTTGAATACCTTTGGGGAAAATTATACAAGGAACTGAGATTTAGAAACAAATGTAACAGTTGATAAGAATAGAAACTTTGATGTTAAATATTTTTCCTAAAGTGGTTTTGGTCCTGAGGGTGGCAACTGTGGCATTAAATGCAATTACTTGTTGTGTTGCCAAGTCCCCAGTGGTAATAATTGCTCTATTGACATACTATAATTGACATACTATTCCTCCTGTTCCACTGCAAATGTAGGGAACTGAATTGCACATGGGTATAATTACCATCGCTGATAGTGTCGGAGATGAGCTTCCCCATCAGGGTTCTGTCAATCACCACTCGCTCCAGCTGTGGCCCTGAAAGGCCTAGGGATACCAGTACACCTGAATGAAAGAGGAGCTGAATCAAATGCGGGGGGGGGGGGGAGAAGAGATGCAACTTGTTAGTAGAGAATGATATGTTCCACAATACCTTTTATCATCTATATTTTTATAGATTTCATATACTACAGCTTGGCTGGCAAAACAGATTAGGTGCACCACAAGAAATGAATAGAGAGAGAGAGAGAGAGAGAGAGAGAGAGAGAGAGAGAGAAGGGAAAAAGCAAAAACATACCGAGCTTTGACTACATCTGTTCCAACTATGCATGAAATGCTTCACTATAGGATATAATTCCCCATAATTTGCATGGAAAATAGTAACTGCAGATGCTGCTATTCATGGCTGTAATCCTTCCCCAAGCTACAGCCCAGTAAAAATTTGGATAAGCAAAGAAGAAACCATAGATTTGAACCTGTGAGGTGGAGTTACTTGAGAACTTATATTCATGTGCTCTGCACAATCAGTTAACCACTCATAGGGCCAATGAAAACAATAATCCAAAGGTATATTAAAAAGCCAGAAAACAGGAACAGAGAAGTGAAGAGAGAAAGAGAACAGGTGCACAAAATAGGACATGCATGCTTAATTTGTACACTTTGCATACAAAAAATGTTCTGGCTCTTGTTAACAAAGCACTACTGCAATCAAGGAGCATTTTAAAGGTGACTTCTGTGGCTCTGCAATGTGGGCATAGGCAGTAGGGTTTTTTTCTTTAAAAAGGGATTGGTGCACATTATAAATATGTTGTTTTTGTATTCTACCATGGGGTGGAGAACCAGCAGTCCAAGAATCAAATCCAGCCTGGCATGGGTCCCAATTTTGCTTGTGAGACCATTTTCCCCAGCCACATCCATGTGCCCCACCACTGATGTTAGATGTGACATCAGATGTGGGACAGGTAGAGACGCATCTGGATTGGTGGGGAACTCACTTGCACAGCTGATCTCTGCAGAGAACCAGGTGGGATTCAGCCTGTCATAATACCGAGTGATTGACAAGTGGGGCTGGAGGAAGAAAGGTTCCCCACTCCTGTTGAGCAAGGAGTGTCATTCTACTCCACACTATATAGCAGGGGCAGGGAATTATTGCCCCTGCTCCTTGCAGGCCATGACTGACAAATGGTTAGAGCCACCCACCTGTCAATCACCTGATGAGACTGAGAGAGAGAGAGAGAGAGAGAGAGAGAGCACATTTTACAAGAGACCTGGCAAGATACAATGATCAACTTGGAAAGCCTCTTTTAAAGCACTCGTGGAAAACTTTGGAGGGGCCTGCGGATGTTCAGCTAACCCAGGTTTCTACCTGTCCCATGTTGGCAATCCAGATGTTGGACTACAACTCCCATCATCCCTGAGCATTGGCCAAAAGCACATAAGAATAGTCCTGCTATCCTATTACAAACTTATGAACAGATTGCTATGCAGACAATTAACACAGAGGCCTCATTTATCTCAACCGATTTAGGTGTGTGCTCAGAACAAGCTTCTTGGAGGAACCTTTAACAGCTGAAGTCAAAACCCCCAATGCAAGGTGAAGATTTTCACGCACTTCTCTGGATCAGGATCAGGATGTTAGATAATCAATTGGTATCAAAAGATAGCAGAATGAACTTTATGAGAAAAACACCTAATGTGAGCATTCGAGTGGTATGTAGGAAAGAAAGGTGCAACCACCTCAGCCATGGACATACATCCTCAGTTTTCAGTCTATAAAGTGAACTGACTGTAATATGCTTCGCTGGACTTTTGTGAGGATGAATAAGATAAAACTTATAAAGCTGTTTCAACTATATAAATCAAATGTATTCCAGTATTTATTTGTTTAGTGCCATCAAAGTACCTGTACATGCATTTAACACAGTATAAAAAGTTTGCACAAAGGATTGCTTCTGAACTGGTTCACAAGTTCAAACAAAAACATAATCTTGCTATTCAGATCTTTCTAAACGCATATCCAGATCAAGCAGTTCCGATTTAGTTTGTGGTTTTAGAAATAGAACAACCTCTTTTTCTGTTAATCTAGTGAGTATCTTTTTGTATAATCATCAGCTTCCCCAGTTATGGCAGATGTCCTTTAAGGTTTTGTCCTAGTAAAAATGTTAGACACAGTCACACTCTACCAGCACTTATGGCAACCTTTCAAAACTTCAATTTATCCTTATGTTGCAGTTGGATTAGATAAAATCACAATTTATTCTCAAGTTGATAATGTGATCTTACAGCTCAGAGGTGTTCGGCTAGTTCTTATAATTGCCCCCAAAATATAAATGATAAAGTTTCTGAAGAACAACAAAACTCTCTAGAAGTTGAGTAGGCTAGTTTGTAGGCCAGGTGGAAAAACAGTTGACCTCTGTACTCCATACTGAGGCATGCTCAAGAAAGCAACGTATCATTAATCCAGAAAAATAGATTCCACTATGCCAAAGAACCCTGGGCAGTACCACATACCACCAAGTCTTCTTGACAAGTTTCACATATTAGTATGTGAGAGAATAAATATACCACCTGATTGAAGCAACAAGAGATTGCCACAAAATCTATCTTGGGGGTGTGGAGGAGGAACAGAAAAGCCAAGGGCCAAATGCTAAGGGCCCAAAAATTTCTACAAAAAAGTATTTCCAACACAATAGAGTATTTTCCCAATGTGACTTAACTTCCTTATGCCAACAACCACTATGCCACAGCAGTGCCAGTGGAGGATCTGCATAGTGTAGTCATAATTCTAAGCATTCTCAGGTGCAATGTTGAAAGCAAAACAATACTAGCAGAAACATGACATAATATGGTAATACTGACAAGCTACAGTGTATTGGGCAATTCTGTTATCATTCATTCCAACGTGAAGCATCAACACCCCATATTATCCATGCTTGGTAGGTAACAACCATGCAGTGACAGCAGATATGCCATGATGATGTCATGGAACCTCCTATAACAAATAAATCATGGGGGTAATTTCATGAAAATGTCAACCTACAGACTCATTTTTCATTTCTTCTTTGAGGTTCTTAGCAAGCATTAAGAAACTGTGATTACATATTAACTGAAAAGTTTTTCACATGCAGTATTTATTGTGACCAACATAACAACACAATGATGCAACATAAATGTACTGTCAAGTATGTCATTTAAACCTCTTTTTAGGACTGTCATATTTTCTTCCCTGAGAATTTTATAATTATTTGAGGAGCAATCCTATGCACAAGAAACTTGAGTAAGCAAGTTCAGCTAGAGTAAAGTTATAACAGATCCAAACCCCATCCATCAGCAGGGCTGCTGATGAAGCATGGCAGAGGGAAAACAAGTCTTTCAGCACTGTATCCTAGGTTGCCAGATCATGCCACTTAGTTGAACAAGCTTAAGATTCATCTCAAGCCCCACTGCCTGGATTTGCTTCTGTTACATCCTCAGAGCACCCCTTTTGGCTGAGTCCCAGCTGTGCTGTGATGAGCAAGTTACACCACTGAATCTTCAGCTGAGTCAGGGTTGGGGAATTAAAGCTAACAGAGCTCCATTGCATCTAAGTTGCTGATCTCAGTGCATCCTTCATAGGGTTATCTATAATTCCCAGAAGAGCCCCCCAATTCTTGTTAGAGGCTCCCATTGTCCACTAAATGATGCTTACAACCACAAGCTCCAGAGCTTCACTCCGACTGCACTTCAATCCGCCTGCAAACCAAACACATCCTGCAACAATTTTCAAATAACATTTTTAAAACAACAACAGAAGAATAGTGCCATTCCCATGACAGTGAGCCTGTTGGATATGAAGCTTGAACCCAGAGGCAACTGAGAAGGTTCATGTACACAATGTGAATAATTCCATACACATGTGGCAGCAGGATGTCACATCAGAAACCTCTGTCAGGCCACTCAAAGCTGCACTGTACACCATCAAAACTAGAGGAAATAAGCTCAAAACCTTTAGAAAGAATCACCCAGAACAGAGCACAGGTAAAGGTGAAGGTAAGGTAAAGGACCCCTGGGCAGTTAAGTCCAGTCAAAAGCGACTATGGGGTGTGGTGCTCATCTCGCTTCAGACCAAGGGAGCCGGTGTTTGTCCGCAGACAGCTTTCCAGGTCATGTGGCCAGCAGGACTAAACTGCTTCTGGCGCAATGGGACATCGTGACGGAAACCAGAGGAAACACCTTTTACCTTCCCGCTGCAGCGGTACCTATTTATCTACTTGCACTGGCGTGCTTTCCAACTGCTAGGTTGGCAGAACCTGGGACAGAGCAACGGGAGCTCACCCCACCATACAGATTTGAACTGACAACTTTCTGATCAGCAAGCCCTAGGCTCAGTGGTTTATACCACAGTGCCACCCGCATGCACAAATAGTAATAGAACAACTGTAAGGCAATTCAAGCAGGTTTGTGAGGTTTTCATTCACTCCCTTCCACTCATATTCCTTTATGGTAACATTAGCCTTCTATATTGGTTTTATGTGTTACTGTTTCAGAAATTGGATGCAGATGTATTTGATCCGACCATATAATTGTAATTAACTGTATGTTGCCTCCTGAACAAGTGAGTCCTACTCAAAATGCAATGAAGGGGAATGGGTCATGGGAACACTTGATAGGTAGTATTAAAAACTACTTTGATGGTAAGCTAAAAGGCAAGAGCAGCATAAGCATTATGCAAGCATTGGACACTTCTTAAATATAATATCTGCAGAATTGTCTTAATTTTAGCATTTTTCTTGTATGCTGCTAAATAGATTTCGAAACCAAAATATCACCTGTTCATACTTGTCATAATACTCATCTTTCAAGCTATGCACAAGTAAATGTGCATAGCAGCAAATCAGAGTTCAGTTCTACTAACAGAAACTTGTAAAATAAATAAAAAAACGTGTTGCATTCTTTATAGAGACATGCAAGTCAAAATCATTGTTAGTGTAATGGTTTTATTTTACTCATCTTCCCCTCACAAGGAACATACATACTTAAAACAACACACAATAAATATTTCTGTGGGTAAGTAGATCCAACTATTTGCAATCTTAAAGAAGGAAAGGGTGCGATCCATGCTTGGCTTTTGGGCCCAGGAAGGTGTGGAAGGCTTAAAATATTGGGAGAGGAAACACACAACTACATCTCCCTCTCAGGTGCAAAACAGCTTCAACCCACCCTTATATCAAAATGTGGACAGGCTGTTCCCTGTACTTCCCCCTACCTCCCTCTGAAGCTTTTTATGTCCTCCTTGTCTCCCCACCCTTCACTCTGCCTAAGACACAGCAGCCAGTCTTCTTCCATGCCATCAGGATAGTGCCTCACCCTTTTCCCTTCCCAGGTGGAGTTTGTGGGCAATATCCAATCAGGGCCGTCTCAGGATGTTTTGCTGCTGGAGGCAAAACAGAAAATGGCACAAAGACACACCTGCTGCCAGGTCCTCCTGCCTTATCCTCTGATGCCCCCCCCCCACGGCTCTTCCAATGCCCTTCCACCTTCTTCTCCTCGCAGCGGGGGCATCGGAAGAGCAGGCGGTGGGGGGAACCAGATAATAAGGCCGGCAACAAGTGCAGAAGGAAGTGGGCAGTGCACATCTCGGGGCCTGGCTATGCTGCCCCTCCCAACTGCCATCCTGAGATGATTGCATCCTCCAGTCTCATGGGAGGGCAGGTCCCAGTCCAAATGTCCTCAGCTTGTTGGTGCCTGGAAGTGTGGATCAGGGCCTACTTAAAGGGCTAGATGCCAGCAAAGGATCAGCAAGTCCTGACCTTTGCTGTCACAGTCTACCAGGTTGCATCTAGCTGCACGACACTCTCAAACAACTCTAAAAGGCTAGCAAGGCAGGCTTTCCCATTTGCCAGAAGTCATGCTAAATCAATCCTCACTAAGGCTTGTTCCCCTATATGTTTAATGATTGTAGTTAAATACTAGTTTTTACCATTTCTCCTGGTACAGAAGTCCAATGTGCTGTAATTTACTGATCTCGTGTATCATTTCTTCTTATTTAAAAAGAAGGACTACCTTCCGGTCCTCTTGTAAGGAGGCCAAGTAGAGGTGAAATTAATTTTTCAGTTTTGAATTTAAGAGGGATATATTCAGTGTCGCCTCTGATTTGTCATCCTACGCATGTACCACCCTCAAGTAAGTGGGCATAGGATTACAACATTAGTTTTGTATATGCTTATTCAGAAGTATGCCTCATTGTGTTCAATGGGCACACTCTCAGGTACCTGGGATTGTAGCTTAAACAGTATTATTATTATTAACCATCACCATCTTACTTTTGACTTTGAATTTTTCAGTAAAAGTAATTGGGTTACAAGGGAAGGATAAATATGTTATTAGAGTTGAACAGATTTTAACTTTGGAAAGTACAGTTACAATTACAAGAAAATTCAATTCATTTTAATGGGGCTTGGATAAATGACACTGGTTGAGGGCTAGACTGCATATTAGTAATACTGTTCAAAATTCAACACTCTCTGTTAAGCAGTGGTAAGCTTAAGGAGATATCTGTTAAAGATCAGGGATAAAAAGCTAGGAATAGCTTTTAATGAGTTAAATACATTAAACATATTTCAAGGGAAAGCTGTTGATTAGAATGCTGAATCACACACTCTAGGTTTTCAACCTGTTCCCACTTCCCATGTTGCTAACAAGGATGTGAGCAGATGTTTTCTTTATATATTGTATGGATATTTATGTAGATAGGAATACAGACACATGCCACTATGGCCTCTGAGCAGTTTACGTCATTTGGTATCTAATCTAAACTAGTTGGTTATTTTACAGTTCCTGTCACTGTGCTGCACATTTTGAATTAAGTACTTTTACAGACAAATGTGTCATGAACAAAATTTAATGAATTTCTCTTTAACTACACTCCTGACTCAGCATAGGTCCAGTTCAAAGTTGCTTAATATATTGAACAATTAATTTTAAATGAGAACACAGCATATCATACATTTTACCTGACTGCATCCCTATTTGAATATAGCCATTTTCACCAAGAAGAATTTTAGCTGGGTCTTAAACTGTTTTTTTAAGCAAACAGAACCAGTTAACTTTGTACCTCTACATAATCACTTAACAATTGTTCAATTCTGTTGAAAGAACATTGCAAGAGCATGTCAAAATATTTTACCTGACAGACGTATTTGCTCTTCCATTTGCTCAGTACACACCGACTGTTTTGCATCAGTTCCTGGAGGACAACCAAAAATAGACAGTGTATAGATGGCTGTACACATTTCACTTGTAGATAAAGTGCTTCTGATTTTCAAGGAGAAGAGATTGCCTGACATGCTAAACAAAGATGCAACTGTTTTGGATAACCCACCAGACAAAAGAGCACTTATCACCAGAAAGGATGATCTTTTATGAAAATTAAAGCTGTTGAAAGAGATCTGAAAAACTGGATTAATTGTTATTATGCTTGAAACTTTCTGAAAGGTACCTCTAGCTCCTTAAGTGTGTCTCGCAGCTTTTCCGGACGTTTGTTCTTAAGTATCCAAGGATAATCTCGAGCTAACAAAAAGAAAGTATGTATAAGATATTATCTACATATCCAAATATGTAAAATGCTGGATTTTACTTCATATTTTATTATTAAATACTGAATATTTTCTATCTTACAATAAATGTGTTTATAATTCTGACACAAGTTCCATAGACAAAATTTTATTAAATTAATCTGAATCACTCTGGTAGAGGTTCTGTCTTTTCCCAAAGGAAACACACATTTAAATAACTATAAGCAGGTTCAATATCAAGTTAAGTGATATTATCAAGAACTCCTTTCAAAATAGCGCAACCAAAATATTATTATTATTACATGTTAATGATAGAAGCCTTTGAGCCAAGATGGCCATGTATTGAAAAGTGTTCAATTAGCAATAAGCACACCTTGGATTAACCTGATTGGCTACAACAGTGTTTCCCAACCTTGTGCCTCCAGCTGTTTTTGAACTACAACTCCCATCATCCCTGACTAGCAAGACCAGTGGCAAGGGATGATGGGAATTGTAGTCCAAAAACAGCTGGAGGCACAAGGTTGGGAAACACTGGGCTACAATACTGCCTACAATGGAACCAGGGGGACATGGGTTATTACTGGCTACAAACTCTATAATAGGGGTAGTAAGCCACTGGGCAAACAAGTATATTTTCTTGGCCCTCCAGCAATCTACTGAATGCAGCAGTGTTGGTGGAATTGGCAGCAGAGACCTCTACAAGCAGAGGGCAGCAAACCACACAGTTTCAACCCTAGTGGGGAACCACAGCACAACCTCTAAAGTCCACAGACCAGCAGAGTCCACCACTTCTGTCTTTGGGGGGAGTGCTGTGGAGGTGTTCAAATGAAGATTCCAGACCACTCACGGTCAGAAAGTAAGCTGATGACCCAGGAAAAGATTGCCAGAAAGAAGCAAGGGCAGAGAAAGAGAAGGGACGACAGTGTATGTATTGTGTGTTGAGTGCCTAAAGTATGTGTATTAAGTCTGCTGGTAGTGTTCAACTGTGTGTGACTGTATGCACTTCTGACTGTGTTAAGGGTATAGTACTTTGCACTGCTGGTGTGTGCCTGCATAAGTGCTGTGCATGTCTGTGTGCCAGAGTAATAGATGACCACACCCACTTTTGATTTGGCCACACCCACTAGTGGCTGGCCATGAGACAATACTTTCCTTGGGCCAAAAAAATGCTTATCACCCCTGCTCTATAGCAATGGCTACCAAACTCCCCCCCCTATGGACCAGTTAAAAATTGCTGAGGGTCTTGGTGGACCACTTAACGTAAAGAATTTAGCATCATACTAAGGTGGTAATTTCATCAGGACAAGCATTTTGGCTTGCTAGATGAAACAATTCACCCTCTCCTCCACTCTCTGCTTGCTGTTCCAGGGGTTATTCCAACTCCCTAGGGCCAATTTTGGGGGGCACACAGAAGGAATGGTGAACTGAAAGCAGTATTGCACTATAATGTGAAGTAAAACCAAGGCTAAATGTTAGTTAGTTAGTTAGTTGATTTATATACCGCCTTTCATTTAAAGATCTGAGAAAGCATAGCAGTACTTGGAGCAAAACTGCAGCCACTTCACTCCTCCACTGGTCCTGCTGCTGCAGTGCTACCAAGAGTTAGGCCATGGTTTGCCTTAGGGTTACGTGTGGATCCAGGTTCAGGGTTTATTTTCTCTAAACTATGAGCATCAAGTCAGGAGCAAGCATTGGCTACAGCTTGTGGTTTGTCTGGAGTGAGACAAGCCACCAGGCCAGTTTCTCCTGTCTGCTTGCATTCTGCCCTGCTTGCATCCACTTTTACTAGAAGGAGATGAAGAGTAGAATAGATCAACACTGTATATAATTAACAACAAGAATAATTTGTGTGTGTTCCACCTTTATTTCAGGATTTTGTTTTATGACAAAGTGAGTTTCCCAGACACATATTGGTAAAAACAGCAAAAAGGGCTGCTGCCATGGGCTACGTTTAGACATCAAAGCATATAAACTGAAAAGTAATTAAGACAGTCTAAACTATGAGAGTTTCACAGTTGTGTATTTTGTATCACATTTTTTGTGATTGTATTTTGTAGAATTTTAACTTTTTAAACTGCTTTCAGTTTTGTATTGGGCAGGTTATAAATTCAAATAAATTAAAACATAATATTTTAACTCTTTTTTTTTACAGTAATAAGGAAACTGAAAATAGGTCTTACATTCTGCTAATTGTTGTTTCTCATATAAGCAGCCAAAGTTCACTTGTGGTTCTAAAAGAAGGGGAAAAAGAACAAAGTTCCAACAACCTTATCATTTATTGTCAGCAAAATGCTAATTATTACACATTTAGGAAAAGTACAGAGATCTGAAAGGTGGGGGAGTTCTAAAGTTCTCATTTCCTCAACAGATGTCTTTAAGTTTGAAGTGAAATAGACTTGAGCAATCCCAGCAGGTGGGTCAATATTATAAAGGATTGAATGTAATCAGATCGTGAAGTGAACTACAACTGAATCCAAACGAGAAGCGGAGTCAGGCTGCCACCAGAACTCTAGAAGGAGCATGTGATGCCCATACAAGCCACCACTTTAACCTGGACTCAAACATGAAGCAACTCCACCTTTTGGCCCATCATGAATCTTCTGGGATTAAAAGGATTAATCAGATAAAGAAAATTGATCATTCACTCTGAAATGTCTATTTCAAAATATCAGGTGAGGAGGATCCAGGAGGCCAAGACCAATGCACTCCTATGAATTTACAATGCCCTCTGCTGGAACTCTAATAAATAAAAACTAACTAGCATGCCCAGCATCAAATATTGCATTATATTTAAAACCTAATTTTATAAAATGAGGTTATGACTTTTGACATATATGTTGTCTTTGTTGATTCATTGCTTTAAACTAATTGCTTTAAAATAATTTGAACCAATGGTTTAACTAATTTAACTGCAGAGAATTTCAGGTTCCACAACATAATTCATAAAAAATTCCTATACAGTACTTTCAAAATTCAGAAAGGTTAAATATATATTTATGTGTTTGCGTTTCAGTTTTGAGAGCTTGAAAAAAATATCAAGTGAGGAGTGTATATAATTTTTTCATGAGGTTTACACCTTACCTGCTTCCTTTTTGTCATAGTAATGATAGATTCCAATGTCTTGGTCTACATAAATAAGGAAATAAAAAACTGAATTATAATTCTGGCACTTGAAATTAGACATGTTTCTTGGGAGGGTGGGCACTATCTTATAAACAGAACTGGGAACCCATGCATGCAGTCATACAAATACTTCCAGAAACACCCACTGAAAATATTTCAAAATGATTCGGGCCAGCCCCACTTAAAGACCTTAATGGGAAACTGTCCAAAATAGATGGGTTTTGAGACTCCATCTGAAAGCCTTCCTATTGATTTACATATGGTTCTACAATTAAAGGGGAGTTCTAAAACCCAGGGAGTGGGGGAATAACTGAAAAGGCCCTCTCTTTGATGCACAAGAAGGTAGAGGAAGCAGGACCATTCCACTGACACTCCTTGAGGACCAGCTCTATTGGCCCTTTCATCACTCAGCTGTCACCTGGCAGCAGACATTCCATCAGGCTGCAGCAGAGAGGAAGAGAGGAAGGCAACTGGGCCATTCCATCAGCTCTGCTGAGAAGCCAGCTACATTTGGTGCCTCTTCTCCTTGAGCTGCTTCTAGCCCAGCTGGTTGTCACACGCAATTTTTTTAACTTTAAGAATCAGTGGCTGAATTTGCTTTTTCTCTGTTTACTTACCAATAGCTTTTTTCTTTTTCTCTTTTATCTTTTAGATTGGCAGTCTTTGGGCAATGGCTGTCCTTGTTCTTATTGATTTTATGTAAGCCACTATAGGAGACCTTCCAGGTGGAGAGCAGTACAGAATGCTTTACATAAATAGACAGATAGAGCCCACTAGGCTAGTTGATCTTACAAGCAAGCCTACAAATAGGGCCTACAAAGATGCACTTATAGCTTGGGCAATTCATACAGGTGCCTAGGAAATTTTTCAGATGAACTAGACCCAAACTGGGGCAGGTGAAAGGAACTTCTAATTCTTGAGCTGGATGCAATCCACCGGGGTTCAGTCCATGGCCACTCTATTTCCCCCACATAGTGGGGGTGTTGCTGGAAGAATGGATTGTTTCTTTTCTCCCCTGGCATTTCTGTGTTGCACACTAAGAAATACAGTCTTTCTCAGCATCCAGCATAAAAGGCATGCGAACTGCCAATGAATGAAGAGACCATTCTGATTCTCCACCAGAAGCTTGCTATATTTATGTCCTGAGAGCTGAGAAAGCGAAGCCTCTCTCTGGCTCCAAACTGGAACCACAGGCAGAAAGAGATTGCACTGAGCAGTGGGGAAGAAGAGACACAGCTGATAAGCAGAACTATAAAAAAAACCCTATTCTTCCCCACTGCTCAGCTGTTCGGTCAGCGAGCAGTGAGTAATAGGCGGGGCGGGGTGAGGTGGGGGGGTCACACAAAATAGGTTTAAAAACTTTTATAAAATTCAGTTTTATGTGGACTTTGATGGCATACAGATTGGTATGCCAGAGGCAACCTAAGATGGTAAAGGTACTCCTGGATACCAACACTCCCTGCACCTTCTGAATTTAAGGAAAGCCCCAAGATGCAAACTTGGTCCTTTGGGGGAGTCCTCCATCCAAGATAGGTTGCACCCTTCCATCCAATTCAGCAGGTTTTCCTACCCACAGTACCTCTGTTGTATATGGATTTAACTTCAGCTTCACTCTCATCTACCTCAAAACAACCTCCAGTTTAGGAGGTTCCTTAGCCTTCTTGAGACTTTAAGATGGAAAGGACACATACAAACTGCTTGTCACCCTTACAATGGTGGCACTGTAGTCCAAAACCCCCAAATGATTTCACATCAGCTGTTTCATTTAAGGTAACCTAGAAGGATAGCATAGCTTGATGATACTGAAAACTGCTGAGACATCCGGAAGAATCCATAGGATTGCCACCTTTGCAAGGCTCTTTCACCAGTTACTAGATGGGTGACAACTTCACATGTTGTAAAACACTGAGACGTTCTCTATTTTGCAACAATAAGGAAATTATTTTACAGAGACAGGTATAGAAATTATTATACAGAGACATTGTTCTTTCAAATTATCTTTTTTATCTTGAAAGTTGCTCTGAAATCAGTACAGTTAGTGGTTTTTGTTTATACATGAGAGGAGTTGTGACAGTGGATGGAGAGCAAAGGGCAGGCTTTTGTATTATGTATGTTCTGAAAAACATGAACAAAATACTACATGTTAATTTCTGAATATTGCTAAAGCTGGCAAAATGGTAACATCTGCTTTACCTTGAACATGCAAGGTGCTCTTCAAAGACCATAGGTGCATTTCAGAGAGAAAGACAGTCATCTGAAGCAGCTGACGGTTAATTCTAGAAGAAGAAGAAGATATTGAATTTGATTGTCCATTAAGCTGAAAAAAGAACACTTATAAAAACTAAGAGCAGCAAGTATCCCAATTTTTAATTCTTTCACAACCAAAAGCAACTAGTAGGGAATTCATAGACTATGTTTATGCCTACTTTCCAAATGTTATTCCTCCGATAGCAAGGTTTGTTAGCCCCAAAAGCTTGCACACAACGTGAGTATACCAGCATGTTCAGATACTACCAAAAGAGGAGCAAAAATGTATCTGCATAAAAGCTTAGCAGTTTACTTTTCAAGGAGGTAATCAGTTTTGATGGTAAGAGGAAAAAAGAGGCTGAGCAAAGGAATAGCAAATTGTTGTTTTTAAAAGATACCAGAAGAGTAATGAAGGGAGCCTAGATAGAAAGAACAGATAGGTAGAGGCAAGGGAAGGAAGACATGTTATATTTAAACTTGAAGTTAAATAAAATATGGGGGGTGAGAAAGGGAGCCAGTGTAGAGAGCAGAACAGAGAAGAAACACAGGCATAGCAACAAATGGAACAGAACAGTGAAATAATTCAAACAAGAACAAAGAGGTTTGGGAGAAAAGGAAAAAAGGCAAATAATGTTTTAGTTGTCTCAAAAGAGAAAACAGGCAAATTTGTTGTTGTTACTTCCTGCCCTTCACCCAAAGGGTTCCAGGGCAGGTTCCGAGAATTTAAAACATGTATTTTAAACATCTGATATTACAAACATGGACACAAGATTGCAAACTTGTGCAGTAAATAAGTTAAATAGAAAGAAAAAGTGAGAGAAAGAAGAGAAGGAGAACAGAAACTTGGGTTTATTGGAATTCATTTAACAGATGAGAGGAAGGAAGGAAGGAAGGAAGGAAGGAAGGAAGGAAGGAAGACATCAAAAATCCTATTTAAGTACAAACTGTGTTCACACAGAGCTGAAGGGCAGCAGCATCCTAACTTCATATCCATATTTATGATCCCGCTCTGCTCTTCCTGTCTTCACTATACATTTATGCTTTCTCAAACATGCTAAATAGTGTCCTATTCATCAGTGAAGATGCAGTCCTCACGTCCTAAGTGGTTTTCTCTCTAAATGGGGCTCTGGAAGTAGCCCTGCCAGGATAAGGCGGTTTGGGGAAGAACTGAACTTACTTTTGAACCACTGTGCTCAGTTAATGCTTTCCCTCTTAAATTCAAGTTGCTAGAATGACTCATTAAAAGGTAGAGAGTTGTTTGTTGCTCTGAAAATTCATCAACTCAAAAGACAAAAATATATTCAAATTCTTTTTGTTTAAAACTATGGCATGCAAGCCAAATATAACCATGTGGTGGCAAAGTGAGGGCTTTGTGAAGATTTTAAATGTGTGTCAGTATTATCCTTATAAATGTGCCTTTTAACACCAACTCACTGATGGATATAAAACTAAAAATATTCTATATTGATTTGAAAGTCACACCGAAGCGCATATTGTCAAAAAGGCCTAACTATGGCTTGTATAATAATCGCTGAAAAGAAATACATTATCTGATAACCAAAGAATAGTGGCATGAAAATCACACACTGTAAACTTATTTCCATTTGCTGAGAAGTTGTTTCATGCTCCACTGAATTAATTCTTCACATTTTTAAGAAGTCTGGAAATAAGTCCTATCTTTTGCAATTATAAGTGGTCATGTTATAGCTACAGAGCTTTCAATTTTAAGACATTTACATGTGTAACAGTACCAAAATTATATCAGGTGGTTAGTCCTTTCTTCTGGGCAAACATGAGAAATAGAAAATGCTTTATTTAACTAAGGCTTCAGTTTTCATGTACTGAATAGATTCCATGTCCTTAGGTCTTTAAGTAAAATATCAAATATCATGAGCTCTGCAATGAAATTGTTGGGAGACACCATAGTCCAGCTTTTATAGACATCCACTCATGCAGTCACAACTTTTAAAAGCATTAATTTACCTCAACAATATTCAACCACTATTTTTATTAGACACTTATTAGACTACCTATCCAGGCCTTAAGGTTAAGTTGTTGAAAACAAGGGACAAGATATTTTTGATGTTGCCTTTCTTTGGGAGCTCGGATAAATCCCCGCTCTGCCAGCCTCCATAATAATAATATAATAATAATTTATTATTTATACCCCGCCCATCTGGCTGGGTTTCCCCAGCCACTCTGGGCAGCTTCCAACTGAATATTAAAAACAGTACAGCCTCTAGTCTAGATATGGAATCAAGACTTTTTTTATTCTACACTGTTTCAAGACTGATACCTTGTGGGGGTGTATGGTGTGTGTTAATGCAGAAAATCCTAGAGCAGTTCACAAATCTCACTCTCAAATACGTAACCAACTGAAACCATAAAACCATCTTCGACCTAAAAACTGAAGCAATTTAAAACAAACCCACAGACTTTTACAGTTACACAAAATCAGTCTAATTATACACACAGTCAGGCAACTAAAATAACCCAATGAAAGGAAAGACATCCACAATATCATAGAGTCAAAGAGTTGGAAGGGACCCCAGGGTCATCTAGTCCAACCCCCTGAAATGCAGGAATCTCAGCTAAAGCATCCATGACAGATGGCCATCCAACTTCTGCTTAAAAATCTCCAAGGAAGGAGAGTCGACAACCTCCCAAGGCAGTCTGGTCCACGGTCGAACAGTTTTTACTGTCAGAAAGTTTTTCCTGATGTTAGTCAGAATCTCCTTTCTTGTACCTTGAAGCCACTGGTTTAAGTCCTATCCTCCAGGCCAGGAGAAAACAAGCTTGCTTCGTCTTCCACGCGACAGCCCTTGAGATATCTGAAGATGGCTATCATATATCTCAGTCTCCTCTTTTCCAAACAATTCCCTCAACCGATCCTCGTAAGGCTTGGTTTCCAGAACCTTGATCATCTTGCTTGCCCTCCTCTGTACATGTTCTAGCTTGTCAACATCTTTTCCCCAGGAAAAGTTGAGGAATCATTAATGGGTACTCTTTGAGTTCAGTCAGTCAACCAAATCCATCCAACAGTTCCCTCATTCAACCCACATTTTACGAGCTTCCTCGTGAGAATATCATGGGGGGCTTGGTGAAAATCAAGATACACTATGTCTACTGCATTCCCCTAATCCACTGAACTTGTATCTCCATCAAAAAAAGAAATCAGATTGGTCTGGTATGACTTATTTTTGAGAAACCCATGCTGGGTCTTAGTAATCACAGCGTGCTTTTCTAAGTAATCACAGACCAACTGTTGAATTATCTGTTCAATATCAAAGTATTGCCATTATGCAGATCGCTGAAGAATTGATGCTTTTGAATTATGGTGCTGGAAGAGACTCTTGAGAGTCCCATGGACTGCAAGAAGAACAAACCTATCCATTCTTAAGGAAATCAGCCCTGAATACTCACTGGAAGGACAGATCATGAAGCTGAGGCTCCAGTACTTTGGCCACCTCATGAGAAGAGAAGACTCCCTGGAAAAGACCCTGATGTTGGGAAAGATGGAGGGCAGAAGAAGGGGACGACAGAGGACGAGATGGCGGGACAGTGTTCTCGAAGCTACCAGCATGAGTTTGAACAAACTGCGGGAGGCAGTGGAAGACAGGAGTGCCTGGCGTGCTCTGGCCCATGGGGTCACGAAGAGTCAGACACGACTAAACGACTAAACAACAACAAAATTCACCACCTCCCAGCCCCACACAGAATAAAAGTAAAACACACATGCAGCACTCAAAGAAATCATAGGAACAACAATGTTTTGATGCTATTCCCCCTTTTTTTCCACACACCCAGCCTGCAACTCACCCAGGCTCATAATTTCCTCATAGTAAGTGCTTCATAGCCAGAAACATTACCTAAATTCCAGCTACTAGAAATCCAGAACTATCACCCTGACAACAGTTCCTTCCAGCTCTCAACCGAGAAGCTTCTTCTTGAAATGAAAGGTGGCATATAAATTATCTTTTAAAATAATAGTATTACTTCTGCACATACACACATGGCTAATTGATGTTTCAGCAGCTGGCTTTTTGCTCTACTGGTCCTCTCACTCGACAGGTACTTTTTGAAAGAGCTGAGGTGGCCAGCAACCTCTGGCAGCAGAGGAGCTAGATGTTCTCAAGTTGTCCTCTTTGCTCTGGTAATCTTTGTGCCCCTCACACTGCTGCCACCAAAGTGGCAGAGCCTCCATCCCTAAAAACAGCACCTGGTACAGGTGAGAACCAGAGAGAGATATCCTGTCCCAAAGGGATGCAGATTACTGGATGTGAAAGAAAGAGGTATTTGTGACAAAGGAACAGCCATGCTGATTGCAATCTTTCTATAAAAAAAAATTATACAGTGGTGCCTCGCAAGACGAAATTAATTCGTTCCGCAAGTCTTTTCGTCTTGCGAGTTTTTCGTCTTGCGATGCACGGTTTCCCATAGGAATGCATTGAAAATCAATTAATGCGTTCCTATGGAAAACGACTTCAGACCAGGTCCGGGGACAGTCTGTCCCCCGACCTCTTCTGAAGGCTGGGGGGGACCAAGGGCTTTTCTTCCCACCCCCAGCATTTTAAAAAGCCCCAGGACAGCGGGGGACTTCTCCGCTGTCCCGGGGCGATTTAAAAGCCCCCGGGAAGGCAGGCAGGGGGGACAAAGACTTTTGCCCCCCCGCCAGCCTTCAGAAGAGGTCCAGGACCTCTTCTGAAGGCGGGCAGGGTGCGAAAGTCTTTGCTCCCCCCCGCCTGCCTTCAAAAGCCATCCGGGATAGCGGAGAAACGAAGGCTGGGGGCGGGAGGAGGTCTCTCCGCCCACCGCCAGCCTTCGGAGGAGGTCCGAGGACAGTGGGGAAGACGCGCTGCGCTTTCCCGCTGTCCCGGAGATTTCCCTATGGGCTTTCGTCTTGCGAAGGAAGCCCATAGGGAAATTCGTTTTGCGAAGCGCCTCCAAAACGGAAAACCCTTTCGTCTAGCGGGTTTTCCGTCTTGCGAGGCGTTCGTCTTGCGGGGCACCACTGTACACACATAAACTA